CGGGGGGGCGGGAGCAGGAGCCCCGGGGAAGGTACAGGGGGTGTGGGAGGCACCCGCAGGGCCCTGCGGCTGCAGCACATCGCGTGGTCGGGGGGCAGGGCCCGGTTTCCACCTCAGCGCTGCCCGGCCCGAGTGCCGGGGATGAGGCCTCTGCCGCCCCTCCGGGCAGCCCGGGCCGGGCTCACCGCCCTCCGTGTGAAACGGTGCTTCCTTGTCTCTAGTTTCGGTCCAGCCTCGTTCATTTTCAGTTATCACTCGCCCTATCACCTGCTGAAAAGTTTGCTCCTCTTTTTAAGCCCCCTCGCAGTGCTGAAAGGCCCCAGTAAGGTCTGTCTGGAGCCTTCTCCAGGCCGAATAACCCAGAGCCTCTCACCTTGTCTCACAGCAGAGGTTTTCCATCCCTCTGATCACTTTTCACTAGACCCTCTCCAGCAGGTCCGTGTCTCTCTGGTGCTGAGGACTCCAGAACTGGACACGCTGCTCCAAAACCTGGCAGCCAGCAGCCTTGTTTGTTCAGTGGGCACGTTCTGCCCATCACCGTGCTGCTGCAGAGCCCGTTTTCACCCACATACCCTGCATGCTGCAAGAATAAAACACTCCCAAAACAAGAAAACCCACAACCCACCCCCATAATACCATGCTCTTCATGAAGAGCAATCTCTGTGTGGTGTAAGTTTTGATTATTACTGAAAAAAAACAAACAACAAACAAACAACAAAAAGCTTTGTAAAACCAGGACAGGTGACAGCATTTGTTGTGTGTGAGCTGGGAGAGCACAAGGGGTGCAGCCACAGCCCCTGTGGGGCAGGGGGCCCCCAGCTCTGTGGACAATGCCAGCCTTTATTGGGACAAGTCAGATGGAAAGACTGGGAAACTGCCAGCTGGAACCCATTAACTAAAATATTTGCCTTAATGTGCAGAACTGACTCTCCCTCCCCAGGCTCAGAGCACTGACAGTATTTACACAGCTGTTTAAAAACACCCAGAGGGTTCCTGCCCTTTGTCTGGTGAAACATGACAATGATTCTCTGCAAACTTGACCAAATCCCAGATATTTGCCAATGAAGCCTCATTACTGTATTTTTCAGCAATGTGGTTAATAAAGTGGGGCTGAAAGATGCCTGTGGCATTCCTTGGCTGGCTGCTGGGCTGACAGGGACACCTTTGCCCCTCTTCTCCTGCCAGAGCTTGGCTTTCCTCTCTCCTGCTCTCTGGAAAAGGAACAACTGGTCTTGCCCTGCAAATGTACCTACACATTGAGTTTAAGGTCATCCATGGAGGGAAAAAAAAAAAGACTGATACTAAAATTGAAGGCCATTTTATTGTGATAGCAAATACTAAAATAAAAAGGCTTTTAACTCCATACACAAGACTGTTTCCAAAAGCCACTCTCAGGTACCAGCCTTGCCACAAACCTGTGTTTTCTTTATTAGACAGTTGTTTTATAACTCAGCTCCTCATGTCAAGATTTCAAGAGCTTTGGACAAAATCTCAGTCAAAGAGAGCTGGAATAAAGATTTACAGGTAGTGACACACCTAATCTGGAAGATGAAGGAAATTATACATATAATGAAAAACCTGAATGAAAACAATAGATTCTGGCTGGTAAGATTTCAACTTTGTCTTTGCTTTTTGTACTCTCACACTTTAACTAAATTACAGGAATACTTTAACAGTAATGTTTTCAATTAAAAAAAAATCATTAAGACCTATTTATTACAAACCATTTTCTTACCATGCATGAACATAGTTTATAATACCACTTTCATTTATTTAGGTCTTTTTATTCATGAAAAACACTTACATAAAAAGGAGTTTGTAGTTATTAATGGAAATGTCTAACATTGCCAAACAAGATCATCCTCAAAGGCTTAGGTACCATTTATGTCCCTGCTCTTCCTTGCTCAGAAAAGTCAGTAATATCACAGCTTAGAGCTACTGCTGCCATTTTTCCACTGCTGTGCTCCCCCCTGCACTGCACAGTTGGCTCCTGTTTTCCAACATAATACAAAGGAGGAACGTCCCTTGGCTCCTGTTTTCTAACATCTACAAAGATGAGACACAGGAGATGGGACTTGTCTCCAGCAGGAACTGATGCTTGTCCTCCTAAGTCTCAACAAGTCTCTCTCTTAACAAGGAGAAGAAAACTAATAAAAAGACTGGAACCAACAGCTCCAATTAAGCAGATTTGCATCTTAGTGTGATTGCCTTGTTAAAGGTTAATGCATGTGTGAGACACTGACAAGTGACACCAAGTGTTTGGGACACAGGATTGTAAAGGCAACGTGCTGGTCTCTGACAGCTCAGCACTCACCCTTGCATCATCTCCCATTAGTGTGCTGGCTGCAAATTAGCACTGTAGTTAATAGAGAGGCTCTCCTGACAAGTGGCAGATGGATTGGGGAAGGAAAAACTGTTCTCTTCAGGCCTGGACTTTTGTCTTTAATACTAGGTAAAGTTTTGCTTGTGTACAAGACAAATCCTTGTTACTTTTTGCAGCTGGTATGTGGGGAATTGATCAGTGTTGCTGTTAATATGTCACACATTCCACAGCATCCTTCTGAGCACAGAAAAAAAAAATTTCTTGGGACAGGCCAGACTATTTTCTTTGCACTTTGCCTTTTCACTATGATGTTGTGTGTGCTTTGCTACTAGGAAAACTTCAATGCACAAGGTCTACTCAGAAAAAAAACAAACCCAAAATGAAAACTTGGTTCTGTTTGTTTCAGTTTACCTGCCTAAATGTCTTCTTGAGGAAGACACTGTAAACATTTAGTCCAGTTGCTCTTGCAGAGTCAGGTAATAAACTGCACTGACCCTGGTAATATCATTCCAGCAGCTACTTGCCAGGAAAGCTTTTTGCAAAGTCAGGGTCCCTGAGACAAAAATTCTTTTCTCCCCAGTTTCTCTAGCTCTGATGGCTGTGACCAGAACCAGGCTTCCACTCTGGTCTCGCTGGACATCCATGTCCAGGGCACTGCCCCCACCTCCCACCCAGCAGGTACCCTGCTGCCAAAAACTCTTAAACCACACCCTCTCCAAATATGACAATGGAAAACAAAGCAGTGTTAGGATGCAGAAAATGAACAGTCTGGGGCACTACCTGTGACACAGTCTGAGGCTTCAGTCCCTCCCCACTCACTAGGTAACCTGCAGGGTTGCAGCTGAACTTGTGGAACTTGCTGCCCCCTCCCAGGCAAACCAGGGGATGCTGCTTTTGTGCATTTGTTCAGGAAGGGCCTGGAGTGTGGACACAGCCTCTGGGACTGTCTCACATCCCAGGCAATAACCTGCCTGGGCCTTCACACACATGTAGTGTACAAAAGTCTAGCACCTTTTTTTTTTTTTTTTTCTTTTTTTAAAGGGGTATGAAATAAAAGTACTGGAATTTCCAATAGGGAAAAAACAACCACCAAAACCAAAATGAGTTGTAGCAGCAATTCCCTTACCTTCAAAACTTCAATATGTCTTTACTGCTAATTGCTACAAACCATCTCAACCCAAAATCAACTAAGTGCCCCTCTAAGCTGGCTGCAGAACAGTCTAGGTA